TTAATATTTTTTTAGCCGAGAATGTAGTGGTTTAATCTTCATGTGTCTGGTCGGTTTGTCAAGATACAGCCTCTTTGCAAAAGTGCTTCGATGATGTCGGAGATGTCTGCCCAGTCTCACGTCAAAGCGTGGGATAGACCCGCTCGCCTCGCCTCGCCTCGCAAGCAATCGAGCTGTTATTACCGCCGACAAAGCGCAGGCCTGGTACACAGCTGTACTAACCCCCGCTGACTTCTTTTACTGAGGTTATATTTATCGATGTTTTATTTCCTGATGTTCTTATGTGTCCTACGTGTTTCAGTCGCCAATTCTGAATTATAACTAACATTAAAAACATGTTTAAGGAGGAGAGAGAGCAAATAAATCTGTTTAACATCTGATCTTTGGGTTTTTGTTCAGTAATCAGCGTGACCTGTGTATAAACGCATAAAAGAGATAATGTTGGTGTTTCCGTCATGTAGTAACTGCTGGCTTTAACTTTAAGGTTGTTCGACACTATGAAACACATTCAGACTTCATGATGTTCGGCTAATATTTTTATTGTGAATATTAATCATGAGGGTAAACGGCCCTGTACACCACGCAGCGAGGTCAGCATGTCCACGATATCCTCAGCTCTGAGTTAACACAGAGTTTCCCAGCTGACTAATCTAACGGTCATCTACGAATATGTCACGGCTCATATCAGTATGATTTTACAGAAAATCATCCGTATTACTGCCAACTATTCCAGAGACGTGAAAATCTACAGCATAAAGAACACAAACATATAGCAACACTGTAACAGAGATGAACCGCCAGTTTGTCCAGATCACAGTGGAATGAAAGTGATTGGTTGAACAGGTGTGATCTGTGTTTTCTGCGTTTTCATCAGCGTAAGAGACTCAGCAGCAGATCAGAATAACAGTTACACATTTAATAAATCACCAAATGAGTCCACGCAAGAAACGAGCAAACCTGTTCGGACAGTCTGAGTTTGTGTTCCCTCAGCTGCAGACCACACGCCGGTAGAATTGCACATAAATCTAAATGTTGATAAGAACAGAACGTGTAGGTGGAGACTAAGACCAGAAAGTTGTATCAACCCTAAAAGAGGATATAAGATATTTGAACGAGGTGAACGTTGGATCTACGGACAGGCTGGCCATTGTATGCGATGCTTTGAAGGCATGAATTCATGGAAAGGAATAGATGGATGGATTCCCGGCAGAATTTTATCATAAATTTATAGATGTGCTATAACTGAAGTATTACATGAAGCTTTTGAATTTGGACGACTCCCTGCAAGTTTTAATCAGGCAGTAATGTCACTAATTCCAAAAGGCGACAAGGATTTAACTGATCCAGGTAATTACAGACCGATAAGTTGAATCAATGTGGATCACAAAATTCTATCAAAGTTTTAGCAAAGAGGTTGGAGGTTGTACTAGCACAAAGTATTCATCAAGATCAAGAAGGGTTTATCAAGAATAGAGCTGCGTCTGATAATATGAAGAGATTACTACACCTGCTGTGGCTGAATAGAAATAACACAAATCCTGTGTTTGCTATATCTTTAGATGCACAGAAAGCTTGTGATAGGGTGGAGTGGAACTTCCTGTTCACAGCCCTGGAAAAGTTTGGAATAGGTGAATTTTATGTTACTACCCCTATTACTATGCAAAGCTGCAAAATGGTGTAATTTTTGCCCATGGATTAAAAATAATATAAATAAGAGCCTGAAAAAAATAAGGATCTGGGGCGTACAATGGATGAAGGTAGATGGGATTCTATATTGTCAAACATTAGGGAAGCCAGGGAGAAATTTATTCAGTACGAAATTCCTAATAGATATTATTATACTCCTTCAAGGCTGTATAGAATGGGGATTGGTAGAGAGGACTTGTGCTGCAAATAAGCCAAAGGTACTCTGATACATGGCCGCTGGTTTTTCCAGTTTGGAACACTGCACTGAATCATTTGCAGGGGTGGACACTTTGTAACTTACCCAGATCACCTAAATTATGTCTGCTAGGAGACAAAGGAGAGGTGCCGCAATTAAATAAACACCAGTTTAGAGGGTTAAGCACTGCAGTGGTAACATGTGTCCGTGTCATTTTGGAACACTGGATGTCTCCGACGCTTAAAAGGATTGGGAACGTTGCATCAGGAAGCTTCAGTAGAACAGTGGGACAATTTCTGCACCTACATGTCTACCTGACTTGGACATTTGAGCTTAATGCAACAGACGTTGAAACCTCACTGTTTTTGTTTGTTTGTTTGTTTGTTTGTTTGTTTTTGTTTGTTTGTTTGTTTGTTTGTTTGTTTGTTTGTTTGTTTGCCTCTTGCTTTTGGTTGTTTGTTTGTTTGCCTCTTGCTTTTGGTTGTTGCATTTTTGTATCTGTTGTTATAAAATGCAAAATCTAATAAATACTTTCATTATTAAAAAAACAGCAGAAGTGTTGATCACAGGTGTAAAGTATTAAAACAGGAATGCAGTATTAGTATTTATACTTGTGTCCCTCCAGCACAGAGTACTTTAAATCTCAGTGTACTTCGGCCCGGTGTTTAATGTCAGCACGTCTGATTGGTTCATGTTATTGACTGTTCAGCTCTCTCTTTGTCAGACGACCATCCATCACCTGGAGGAGGCGGGGCTCAACGATCCCTGCGTCATCTCGGCACTGAACATTGAGCAGACGGCGCCCTCTGCAGGCAAGAAGGGAAGCAGCTGCTCCTCCTCGGACGAGAGTGATGAGGAGAGTGAGACGGAGAGCACAGGAGGGGCGTACACACAGCGGGCGGGCACGAACCTCCTCTCCTCTTCATCCTCTTCATCATCATCTTTGACTCAGCCCAAACCACCGCCTGTTGTCTCCTCCAATCAGGAGCCGTACTCTCAGCGCAATGCCCTGATTTCAACAGGAAGTCCTTCCAGAGCTGGGCTAGAGCTGAGGAGCTGTGGAGGAAGACCTAAGGAGGAAGAGGAGAAGGATGTGAACCTCCTCACATTAACTTTCGGCAGGGTGGAACAGGAGGAAGAGGAGGAGAAAAAATCAGACTTCATTGTGGAGGAGGTGGCATTTGACTCAGTGCTCGGCGAGGAGGGCGCCACAGAAACTGTTCATGATGAAGAGGAGGAGGTCTGTGGATACATGGGGCGCTCGGGTATCTGACAGAGCTCTTTAAGGTGCCTGGTTATCAGGTCCACGTCTGGGTTCATGTGGGCCAGGGTTTGAAATGTTTTCATTTTCCCTCCAGCAGCAGCGGCGCAGACGTCGGCCATTTTTATTCTAACGTGTAGGTTCTCACCTCTTTGCTGATATTACTTATTTGAATCTGTCCGTCAGACGGCTGAAGTCCAGAGATCGTCTCATTGTTTCAGGTTCTATTAATAAGTGTGAGACACCCGCTGATGCAGGAGGTCCAGGACGTCCGTCCCTGCTGCGTCTCTGGAGATGGCGACTCAGCCGCCTCTAATGGCTAACGTGAGGTTAGCATCTGGTCTCCGCGGTGAGCAGCTAGAGGACGTCCCGTGTTAGGGAGGCGATCTATCTAAATCTCATGTTCCTGTTAGACTTTAGGTTTTCTGTGGACCAGTTCTGAGCAGGTTTATTTTTATCTCTTATTTTAAATAAAAACCAGTTTGTTTGTTTTGTCAACACACAGCTGTGTTTGTTGGGCATTCCCAAACTCCGTCACGTAAGCATCCCAGTGCCCGGGTCGAACTCTAACCCACACCGAGTCTGAACAAAATGTTTCGTATTCAGCCGTGCTTTGGATTATTACTCATGTTTGCATCATGTGATTAAAGCAGAAGGCAGTTAAAGAGCCTCTTTGTTCACCTGTGGGGGGGACGGTGGGGAACAGGGAGGCTTGGCTTTACACTGAGAAAGACCTGCAGCGACACCTGGTGGACTTGCTTCAGTATGGCAGGCGTAATGACCCGGGCGTCTTCTGGATCGACTTCTTCCCCTTTGGACAATAACGTCTCTCATCTGCAGACTCTGACGTTTGTAAAATGTTTGGTTACTGTGATGTGTCTGTGTTGGAGAGCTGCTGCTCTGAGCGCTGGTTGCGTAACCAGCTCCGTTAGTTTTAGTTTTTATTCTTGTTGGTGACAGTAAAACAAACTGAAGCACAACAGAAAAACAGAATCGTAACAAACTGAAGTCATTTCCTGTGTGTTTCATGTCAGTGACGATTAGTTTCTTTTTCCTGTAAGGACCTCTGTAATCAGTGATGTAGAGCTGATTATCTCTGAATCAATCTGATTGATTGTTGCTGTTGGTTGTTGTCCCTCTGGTCTCTGGTGGGCGCTGCTGGACATTTTTTATGATTTTTAATGTTTTAATCAGGAAGAAATAATCTGACAGCAGATGAAATGACTTGATTCTTATGTGTGTCTAAAGGCAGCGACTGTTATTATGGGCACGTCTGTGTCTGAACTCTTCATCATGTCTGATCATGAACGTGTCTGCAGCGAATCAGCGTCACACAGCCTGCTTATTCGCTTATTTCCATTTACATAAAGCACATCATACCTCTGTAATGCACTCATACAACTTATTCAAACAGTGTAATCACAACATGTTTGTGCCATTTTTGCATGTTTGTATTCACAGTGGCCAACGTTGAGCCATTTCATTTCTATATTGATCAAAAACAACAAGAAGCCTCAAATGTTTTTGTACAGAGTCGCGCTTCAAACCAATAAAGGTCTGAGACGGTGCTGCTGGCGTCCTGTGTGCTCTGTGATCAGGAGCTGGAGCTGTAGTGTGAGCAGGGAGGGACTTCTGTGGAAACAGAAACTCAGAGCTGTACAATAACACATGCCCCTGTGCTGCCCTCCCCTCCCTCTATAGGTTGTCCTCAGCCCCACAAACAGCTTATCAGCCGCCTTGAAGCAGTCTAACTTTGGCACAGTCCATGGACACACGATGGGGCTGTGGATGCTGCTGCTTCTGCATTTACATCTTGGTAATGCTCACTGGGGTGAAGGTGGGGGGTTACTGAAGCTTTCTGTTGTTTTCTCTGGTTTTTTACACCTTTGCATTGAAGTTTGTGTGTATTGGAGGAAAAGAGTGAGTGTGGATGTTAGCAGGAGAATTAATAATCATTCTTATTTCTACTGAAGCACTCATGGACTTACAGGAAATGTCTGATTTGAGCTCTCAGCAGGTTTACAGGGGTGTTGAATCTGTTTCTGGGGGAGTTCAAAGGAGGAGGGGGTCACAGGAAATCAGACTGGTAGTGAAGGAAAAACTGTGACAGTTTAAAAAATGACCTATTATATTAATAACATTTTAAATAACTAATTATCATTATTATTTGTTGTAAAATGTTACTTCTGGTTTCATTTCTCTTCACTTCCTTAAACTTGTAGAATGACTTTTGCTCATTTGCCAAAAGACTGACACAAAATCACAATATAAAAGTTAATAATGAAGTTTACTGACAGTAAAGTGATTTATTGCTCAGATTTTCTATAATATTATTGTTCTAAAGTCTCTGGACCTTGATAATGGTGCCATGAAGGTGCGATAAGTAAAACTTTCAGCTGGATCTTGAGGCTTGGGTTTGGTCCTTGTGCATTTCTGTTCTTAGGTTTTAAAGCAGCCTGTGTCGAGTTAATGTTCAGACACTGCTAAAGGAAGAATTTAGACACTTAAAGTAAAAGTTCTGAACTAATTTCAGATTATTTATATTGTCATACATATCTTACAGTGTTACATGCTATAATACATGTCAGGTTTAGCTCCCTCCCTAGTCAGTGTAGGGATCTGGCTGTTAAGTGATGAGTATGAACCCTGAGCCAGGTTTATTAAGGCTGTTGTGTTTTTAACATGTTTTGTATCTTGTTCTATTTAATCTGAACAAGCCCCTAAAAACAGTCAGTGATCCCTGTCGGCCTCTCTCGGTTTTTATCACCACTGTTCATTTTAAAACTCAGTTTTTAAACCCTTCTGATGTAACTACAGCCCATGCAGCAGTATATTAATGACTAGCCTCGTATTGTGGATGGATTATCTCAGTTCTCCTGACTGAAGTTTGGTCCGTTTACAGCATCCTGCCATGCGATTACATTTGTCTCTAACCATCAGGAACCCTCACGTTAACTTTTATCGAGTGGAAAAAAGTTAGCGTTCATCCTCCAGCTTCACTGTGTTTATGCTAACATAGCTGTGTAGCTAGCGATCACGTAGCACATCATTATATACCAGCTAGCCCAACTTCAGTAACCCTACAAACGTCACTGCTGTTTAGTTTTCTGTCTTCATTTATGTTGGAAGTGATAGCAGAGCTGTACGTTTGAATGCTTCAGAAACCTCTCAGTCAGAACATGCTATATCATGCTTAGGTGGAAGCTAGCGAGCTAACTTCCTGCTAACTTCTAACTCTGTTAAATATAATAAATCCTGTTTTTATGGATGTTAAACTTAATTGTTACACCTGGTAAAGCAGCAACACTGATAATTTTATTTAAAGATGAAAGAATTTAGATAGTTTGTAACTCTCAGTGATGCTGCAGTGTTCGTTTGACTTTGGGACCTGAAGTGGAGTTTGGACCCGGAAACAGCCAATGATGTCAGACTCAAAGAGCGGATACTGGCCACACAGGAAGTCATCGCACTTTGTAGCTGATGATTGGCCACTAGCGGACGTTGCAAGCTCTGGTTGCCTAGGTAACCATCTAAACTACTGAATATACCTTCATGTTAGTCACTGTTCTTTGGTCCAAGGGGGAAAGTTTATCTCTGGGACACGCCCACTGGGTCAGTAACAGCAGTCAACTTACTGCTAACCGCTGTCACAGAACCGCAAACCATAAAGAAAAGGTCCATGATCCAGATAAAGCAAACAGTCTCTGAACAGCAGGAGGTTAGCTACGCACTGCTAATCAGCACGCAAAGAGCCACCCATCTGATTTACTCCTGAACATAAACGGCAGACTCGTCCTTTTCCTTACTTTTAGTCTGGCTCGGTGTAAGTGGTCCCTGAATTAGTCACCTGGAACGTCACTACCTGTGACGAAACGCTGACTCTGCTGTCATGTGTATGTCTTTCTTCCAACAGCCTGCACTGCATTTATGTAGTAGCCACTTGTCTGTGGCTCAGGTAAGTTTCATTTTCCTCTCACTCTGTACTGAAGTGCTCTTTGCTGTAGGTCTCTGAACAGTCACAGCCTTTTATAGCGGTGACTCTGTGATTGAAGTGCAGAATCTCAGCTTTACTTCACGGGATTGAACAGGAATATTACTCACTTAGTTGAGAGACTACAGACATTTCTTTGCACAGTTTCTGATTTTCAGGAGATCAAATGGAGCTGCTGTTTCTCTGTAAATGAAGCGGGTGAAAGGTCTGGAGGTGATCCAACTGTCCACATTCCCATTTGGAAGTTCTTTTTGTAAACCCACCCTTCCCAAACCTGGAGGTTTAATCGTGATCATTTTGAATAAAGGCTGAAGGTGAGTGACAGAGTCCACTTGTCCAAAGTAGGCCAAAAGGCAGGTCAGAGCAGCTCTGAGTGAAACATCCGTCGTCTCCTGTGGATGTCTTTAAAGAACTAAAGAACACTGTCATGATCCAAGCACATCATACAGACACCTCACAGACACACTGTGATGTATTCCCATCATGAAGATGTTTCCTCATCATCATCTTGATGCTTTGAACCCAGATGTGACAAACGAGCAGGTAGATCTGCTCTACCGTATCAATTTCAAAATTCTCTTGCTTACTTTTAAAATTTTAAATCGGCTCCCAGGTATCTATCCGATCGCCTCCATTTGTAGATCTTCCAATCAAATGCTCCTGACCCAACCAAGGTCTCGTCTGAAGTCCAGAGGAGGTCAGGCCTTTGCTGTCGTAGCTCCCTGCCTCTGGAATAACATCCCTCCCTATATTCGTTCCTCCGAGTCCATCCAGTCTTTAAATTGCGTCTTAAAACGTGTTATTGTAGTTTGGCTTTTGATTCAAACTAGTTTCGTGGCTAGTTATGCTGTCAAAGGAGCTTGCAAAGAAAAGCGTCTGGCAAGCTCCTTTGACTACGATGACCTGGATGACTGAGAACCTTCACAGACGGCTAGTTATGCTGTTTACCTTATTGTTTCTTGTCCTCCTTCTAACTGTTTTTATTCTGTCTTATGCTATTGCTCTGACCGACTGTGAAGCACTTTGGTCAACTTAGTTGTATTATTAAGTGCTATAGAAATACATTTTGATTTGATTTGATGTGAGACCTGTGAGGACAGAGGGACGATGCAGTTGTCAATCAAATGTAGCTCCGCCCTAAACCCTCCCTGTTTTCAGGTCCCTTCTTACTCCAATGAGACCATCTTTTTTTGAGTTGGAGGCTTATGTCTCACAGACCTCTATGCAATCAGACTTCATTTCACAGCCAGAGGAGTCGGCCCCTGCTGGACATTAGAGCTTTAAGCTTTTCTATTTCCGACTTCTAAACTAGTTTTGTGAAAAGTTCCTGCAGATTCAGCTTCCCTACATTTCTCACCCACATTTATGATTTCAGCTCCAAAGTGTCAGGATGGTGATAGCGAACAGCTTTAAAGCATTAATTTCTCCGATCACGCTGGGTTATTCCAGCTTTCACATGTAAATAAATATCTGACCATTCAGGTCACTGCGTTTGGCCACACTTGCTCTCGTAGCTCAAGTCACACAAAGTTATAAACAGTAAATAATCCTGCATCCCTCAGATTCACAGCTAGCTGCTGCTGCGGGTCAGTCGGCTCTCTGAATCAGTACTCTGCCTCCTCAGATGTGGTCACAACTCTAATAAACAGGAGCTCAATCCTGAAACCCGTCCCA